TAATTTCCCGATGCAGTGACATGTTTTTCCTTGCGCCGCTATAATTTCCGTATTTTGGTTTTAAATAATCGTATCCTATAAAAATTTCTTTTGAAGAAATTTTCACTCATAAAATTTCCTTCTGCTCCTGTATCGATGAGGGCTTCTACTGGTACATCGCCAACCAGGACTTGTATAATTGGTAGCTGTGAGTTTTTTACGATGACCGTATTTAAATGTCTATTTGAGGGTTTTTTTAAAACTTCCGGGGTCTGGACCCTCCCTTTCACAGGCCCCTCTAGTCGTTTAAAGCTTTCCTTTCAATCTGTGTCTTCTGGGTACGCGGATGTTTATTTTCAAATTTTCTTTTTGGGCCTTGACCTTCGAGTTTCGATGCGTTAGCTTGATAGCTCTTTCCCCCATAAGAGCGATTTCCATTTCTGGTTTCCTCATTTGAAGATTTCCTTCGGGTACTTTGAGAATATGTTTCCCCTCTCGCTTTTTCCGCTATTCTGCGATTTTGAAACTTCACCGCCAATTCGAAAGTTCCTGCAATGTGCTTGGGTTTCTAATTTCAAAGTAGTCTTGAACAGCGGGTAACAATCTTGGTAATATTATTTCAATAATCTCCGCATCGGGTTTCTTCCCATACAGCATATCCGTTAGCTTGATTTTTCGTAGAATAAAGTCCGTCAATTCTGCTGTATCCCGTTGATAGAAACTATATAGCTCGGCTTCCAGCCGTGCGCGATCTTTCACTATGGGGAAGGCCTTTACTAACGATTTTTTGAAATTTTCAAATGTATGTCTGGCTTCCAAATTCCCCTAATAAAAATTTGCCTATATTTTTCCACCATAGCGCGGCCTGTCCTCTTAGTGCTGATGTGGCGATGGCAACTTTTTGTCTTTCAGGCACAGGGTAGAGCTGAAAGTGGTTTTCTAGACCTTCTAGAAATACCGCCACCGAATTTTTTCCGTCGAAATGGACGTTTGGCTTGATTGATGCTCTCAAAGTCTGGACCAGGTATCCAAATCCTTCCAACTGAGTTGTCATTTCTTGGTGTTGTCCAGCGGCTTCCATCCAATTTTCGGCCATTTCAGTTCGATAATTGTTCGGGCGCCAATGTAACGTTGCGCGCCTCCAACTTGCACGCAACCAAGAGGTGACTGTGAAAACTGGATAAAACACAGAGTCTTGTGAAGGGTTTAAGTCCCTTTTTATTCAACGTAAAAATTACAATTGCGTGCTCTTGACGCTTCACAAACTGCGCCAACTCGGCGGTCAAATAAAAATAATAACCTGAAAAGAAACTAAAGACAAGACTCTAACTACGAGGCTCTCTAAAATAACTAACTCACCGCGTTTTACAATACCGCTGCTAATTCAGCAGACTTGAAGCTCACTTGAACGATTAACACTACTTCCCGCCAAGCACATAGGCCGAAACGCGGGGTTCTTCAATTTCTCGCTACTACGTCCGCGCTCGTGAAGTAAGAATATCACACACCGAACTCGTTTCCCTTCTATTTAAATCATAATACTTCCGCTGATAATTTGAATCCTTGCGCGTTCTACTCAAATTTACATATTCTGGCATTGGCAGTTCCAGGGGAAAGTAAGGCTTGACAGGAAAGATAGTTTAAACTTAAAATAAATGTTAGTTAAAATAAATATAAACCCTACAAACTTATCAACGAATAAAAACATACAGATTAAGATTCTATATGTAGTTATTTATTTATTGTGTTCAGTTAAGTTATCTATATTCTGTCAAATAAGGATCATAGAAACAGCACAGTAAAATTTTGTGTAGACGCAAAAACAGGGGGTTAAGTTTCCAAATACCATTACGGTATTTTATACATTTATTTAACTGCGTACCTACAGTAATTCAAAAATTAACTTTTATTTTAATCATTACGTATTTTTTCGTGAGCATATCTCTATTATTTTTCTCAAAAACATCGAATGTCCAAGGCTCCAAAACCTATGAACTTCGCATCAAATCTTCTCTTATCAGACCAATTTTTGGAAAGGGAGAAAGCGAGTATTATGTACTGAAATTAAACATTTTTAACTAATAAAAAGATATTAAAATTTTTGCCCTTTCAAAAGTCAGTGAAAATATGGTACGAGTTAGATACGAATTTTCGCAATTTCTGCTACAATACATATTTATATCGTATAAATCCAACCTAATACTGAAACCAATTTAAAGAAAAGTAAATAAAACTAAATATTCGACCAAAAGATAGAATAAATTTAAAACGTACACAGCAGAGTTGAATTTATTCGTTAGCATGCAAGATCTTTATTTAACCCTTACCAAAACAAAGAGTATACCAAACATAGTTTTTGATCTATAATTGCACAATTTATTGTGGTACAAATTATACGATTTCATAAGCTGTAATAAATAAAATATAAATATATAAAAGTGTAATGAAAAGATTAGATAAGAAAAGTGAATTGATAAATTTCTGCAATTGTGAATAAAGGCTACTAAAGCTCTACTCATTAATGATTAACACCACAATAAACTTTATTCATCTCAAAAAGTTGCGCAAACGTTTTAGAGCAATGCGAATATAAAATTCAGTAGAGTTCCGTAAACGATATTTCCGATTAGTCGACATTCCATATAACTCGACGATCTCTTTTTATTAATCGTTAAAATCTGCTGGTCAAGCAGAGCATTATTTTTGAAATAATGTGGCGATTTATTTAATAGGTTGACTATAATAACTTCTAACATTGCCTATATTATTCAAACAGTGTAAGTACGTTTTAATTGCTGAATTATTGTAATTGCAATGCATATTTATGCCTATGAATGTCCGCATGTTTTCCAGTTCTGTTCAAAGATTTGTTAGGGATTGTGATTTTGAAATTTGTGTCTCCTTGTCTTTGTGACTCTACTTCTTGTAACCAATATAATGAATCTGGTTATAGGTTTTGTTCTTTTTTGTGGAAATTCCAATCTACTCCATCCTTTCTCTCAGTAACAAAATATCTGAACAACGTTAGGTAGCCGCTGTCGATTACCACTTACATTCGCTTCTGTTGCTAGCCTTTAGCACCTTGCCTGAAGGTTTCATGGTTGTATTCATCTATAAGCTAAACTTTTAATTTATTTTAGGTAGAATTTCTCAGTTAATATCAAGGCTTACATGTGTGCAAATGAAAATGTCGAGTGAGAAGAAAAGAAAAATCATCATCAATGGAAATGAAAGTGGATGCCTCAAGAGACAAGACAAAGTTATTATAGTTATTAGTATTAATAAAATTGCCATTGATTTAGATGTTGAACAAAATAATATGAGTTGTGAATAGCTCATGTCTTCTTCCGTGAAACTCGACATCCTGTAAGTCCCCATCAGATCGAGTTTGCGGGACTCTACAGCAATTTCTTTCAGAAGAATAAAAATTTCTTCACATAAGAGTCTATTCCAAGCATAGGCGGTATAGGCAGCCGCTTATAATGCCGGTTTTTGGAGGATGACAGCCAAGTTTATCTTCACAAGTGACAACTGACTATAGCTATATTTTGCTTTGAATTATTGGCATGTTTAATTTATATGGAGAGTTAATTGTAATAATAGCCTAGGACGGCGAAAATGCTGGATCAGGGCCTTCGAATCCTTTTACTTTAACACTTCTTTTATCATAATTGATTATAAGTTGTTCGAATGTAAAAAGAGTACGTTTGTAATGAGCAAGAAGTCATTAATTTTGGAATATTCACATATAAATTGCTTTATTTATCCAAACAAACTACATATCTTGAGCTATTCAGATATAAAGCAGTAATGCAGGGAATGCAGCTTCATTAATTTTTAATCTCTAATGTAACTTTTTAAATTTCTCCTGTTCTTCAAGCTGCTGAGAATTAAATAAACGGTACTCATAAAAGCAGTTACTACTCTTGCTTACAAAACGAATAATACTTAGAAAGAGAACGTATTATTAATTTCCTCCTTCTTGTTAGGAAGTAGCTCGACTGTTATTTTTGGCGTCTACAGCTTACATTTAAGGACTATCAACTTAATATTTTCTTAATCATAATTATACATACTTTTCCGCATAAAATTGTAAGGATTATGTTAATGTTATTAACAGTTAAATTTTGAGTTAAACTTCCTTTCCTATCGATTCCTAATTTCAACTTACCACTCTTCCGGCCAGAACGTAGTTTTAGAATCACGCCTGAATGCTAATGAGGAAGAGCGGTATATAACCGCAAAGTTCTACAGTCTTAGTGAGAGAGATACCAGATATTCTGGCTGCACGAGTCCGCCTTTTTAGGCTATTCTCTCGTAAGCTATTATTACATCCGGCCGTACTTTAGACCCTTGATAGCTTCGCAGTCAATTAGCGTTAAGGGACCAACTCTGTTAGAATTTTGATAGCTTCGGCTATATCTCTTTTAGTTTTAAGGTTAGTTTAGTTTAATTCTTAGTCTCTTAAGTTCAAACCCAAGTATTGGCTTTATTGTACAACTCCAAGACGGAGTTTTGTTACACTTTAATTGGAATAATAAAGGGTTATTTCACCCTTCTTACTTGTTTACTGTACACGAACTCAAGCGATTATTCGCTTACTAGTTCTTAAGATTCTTCACTTTCAACTGTAACTTAGAATTACACCCTATAAAATATCAAAAGATTTTCTGGTCGAAGATTTCCGTAGCTCTGCACATTTTTTATTACCCCTTTGAAACTAATAATTCTGTAAAATTTCAAAGCTTAGAAAATTTGTTTCCGGGAAGGGCATAAAATTCTTTAGCTACGGAAGTGATTTTAACTTTCATTATATGCAATTTCTTTGGTTAGTTAAAAGATAATTCCTTTTATGTTTACGATCCTTTAAAGTCATTTCATTCGCTGGATTTTCTTCGGTAAGAGGGAAAAGAGATCCACGAGCTCATATTCGAAGAAAGATCGAACCAATCGCTTCTTCCGGTTGTTTCCGCGGCGAGAGAACGGAACGCACGTCAAAAGGCGACTCCCGCGGTTTCGATCAGCAGACCTACGCACGCGCTAGAGAGGGTCACTCGCTCTAGAGGACAGGAGAGAAGAAGATGGCGAGTCAAGTTTTCCTTCCGAACGCGGAATTCTCCAAACACGCGAAAATAAGTTCTTTGGAACAGTACCGGCAAATGTATAAGAAGTCTGTGGAGGATCCCGACAGATTCTGGGGTGAGATCGCCAAAGAGTTGTACTGGAACGTGCCCCCTGGAAAAAAGGAACTCTGCCGATATAACTTCGATACTCGCCACGGAAAGGTATTCGTGAAGTGGTTCGATGCAGCAAGGACGAACATCGCTTACAACGCTCTAGATAGAAACGTAGAAAAAGGATTCGGTAATAGAACAGCATATTTTTGGTAAGCGTTCATTATTTTTCACTTGACCAGAAAGCGGTACTTGAATCAAAGAATTTTTCAGATGAGAATTTTTTCCCCCTTCCTGAAACAGGGCGTTTAAGATAGGCACGGTTCACTGTTATGCTAAAGGCATTAATTTATACAAATAACCCATTTTCGAAGAAATTTTATGCGTTGGGAGGGTAAACAAAAAGAACCAATGCTAATATAAGACTCAAAATTGGAGACGTCTTTGTCTGGCTTATGTTAAGAATGCTTGAAAAATCTATTCATTTGGTCTTTTGTACTGAATATTACATTAATATTTTCTTTATACATAAAATTTTATAGTTAAGTAAAAGCAGTTAATTTCAGCAAAATATAAAATTTTATTAAAAAAAAAAAAAAAAAAAAAAAAAAAAAAAATGAAGGAAGTAGCTCTTAGCTCTCTGATTTTAATTCTGTTCCTTTCTAAGAATTAGGTAAAAAATATGGTAGGACTAAATAAATAAATGATTATAGTTAAGAATTTGGGTATTAATCCGCTTTAGCATAAAAAAATACTTTGAGTGAGGATTAACAAATTACACTTGTTAACACCTCCCTGAAGTGTTTTTCCAATTTGTTAAAATCATGGTCTAAAATTTAAAACTTCTCTTATAATAATGATTTAAAGGCTGTAATAAAGAAACAATATACTTTATGTTTATTTATCTATTTTTTACAATCTTGCAACCACTCGATAATTTTTTATACAATTTTAGATCCATCTACCTATTTGAAGTATTCCATGTAAAGCGAAATGTAATGGCATTTAAACAGTATTTTTTAGAAAACTTTATTTCTCAAGAAAGGAAGTGGTAAATTTAAATAGCTGATAGGCGAAAAGAACAATATTTTATATCAATGGTCTCTGAACTACCTTCTGTGGAATCCCGGAGTTCCATTTAACTCGCGCAGGGATTCTGCAAGTCGAAATCAAAATACGAATTAATTCTTTACCAATTTAACTGTAAAAGTAAATACCTAAAGTTAGTAATTAAAGAATACTGTTTTTATTTCTGGTTCCTAATGTTTTGCAAGGTAATATAAACAGATTTATCCTTATCAATAAATATCTAATGAAAAACTGATTTTCTTTTAGTTTCCAAGTAAAGTTTAAGCAAAATTGATATATTTTCGAATGGTTTTTTCCTTCCTGAAAATGGCAAGACTCCGCCACCACCACACAGAGTGCATATATATATATATATATATATATATATATAAACAGAGAGCGTTTTATGGGTTTCCTGAGTGGACAAAATGTAAACAACTGATAGTTAGGTTATATAGTATTTGTTGTGCACATAATAATCTAAGTTAGCTTACGTTATATTTTAGTATTCTTTCTTGTTAATGGCGCTGTTGCATCAAATTGTAATGATAAATTGTGCATTAATATTAGTGATAGATGTTTATTTTCTCTTCAGAAGTTTAAGAATAGTAATCTAAAAATGAGGAAAACAAGCTATATACTGCATTGCTGCTATTTTATGATTTTTCTTTACACTTTTCTGGGTAACAAAATAGTAAAGAAGTTATTTAACCAACTGCATTGCTTATCTTTTAAAATCCCAACTGATTTTTCTTTTATTGTAAATTTCATTTTGTGTTTAAATGATTTCATGAGTGCTATTGTTGAACAAATTTAATACGTAGTAATACTAATTCTGTACTAATAATCTACAAATATTATTGCTTTCATGATATTACGCTAAACCGAATTATAATTTCATTTGCTTAACCGGAAACGGAATCTAAAGCATTTAGCTATCAGTGAAACAACTGAAGCCGTTTCCTCTGTATAGCACTATGGATGCCTTTGCTATCATCCCCTTATTTAGAACAGAGTGTCTCTCCATACATATACTATATTGGAAAGTGGCGCGTTATCACGTTTTAATTCTCCTTGATCAAAGCAAACCTTCACTTTCGAAGGAATTACGACTTCTCAAACTCTCGATTTGTCGATGAATTCTGTACAGAAAAGTGGGCTATTAAAGTATTCCTTTCTTTTCCCTCTTCTTAATACCTTCATATTTTAGCAGAATCTTTTCTAAGTTCATTATACGTTAGGAATGATTAAATATGCAGTTTTTTACATTTATCAAGTGATTTTTTTAAAGATATCTCTCATTACTTACCACGTAGTTTTCTGAAGAAAAAATTCTAAATTTTGAGATGCGGTTGGATCTGGTTGAAAAGAACACCAAAATATGCAATAGTAGCAAGTGGCAGTGACCGATAAAATTATGACCATTACTAGATGCATCTTGATATATTAAATATGCAAAAATGTGCATGGAATAAAATTATTAGTTATTTTGATCAATACAAGCTTTCTCTCGTTGTATTCATTCTAATTATGATTGAATTCTTCTATTCGTTATAAGGATATACCATGCGCGTTTCGAAACGCATGGATTCGTTCAGCCAGCAGCTGTTGCTCTAGTTTAAGAGTATAGAGACATTAGGTTATTTCGAAGCAGGAGACATGAAAAATGAGCAGTGCCCTCGTTGGGACTCGAACCTCTCGGATACGCGCCAAGTGTGCTGGCCATTGCACCACGCAGGCATGTTAAGAAGGCGGGGGAAATACCTTATACGAGTAGCGTTTCATTAGCTTGGGTTTGTTTTATGGGCATTATCCTTTCAATGTATAGTTGATGAAAAAACATTTACAGTTTTTCGAGATATTTGGGAAATTGAAAGGTGATTCCTAATATTGGAGCTGTTTTAAATTTGCTATAGCTGGGGCTTCTTGACCATAGCTTTGTTAGGTAAAGTGTCAGCTACCCTTTTTAAAATCTCAGTTCATAGTTAGCGTATCAACGGATGAGTTTAACTCAAATAAATAGGACGACGTCGGAAGTTCAGTTAAGTTTACGGCGACACGTTTTATGTAACTATTATTGTGAAATTCTACTACCAGTTTCTAGAAACATTATTTACAACTAAACAGCACTAAAAGTCCAAATGTACGTAACGTGAAAAACAAAAATAACTTTACTTAATTATAAAAATACGTAACAAAGATACATAAGAAGGTAAAAGTTTTCTAAACATTTCATTAAATCAAAAAGTTGAATACAACATAAAACAAATGACCTGATTCCGAATTGATTCACACTATTCATGAAAAATGATATTTTGATAGTTTCGGCTACATGTTTTAGAACTGATGCTTTCAGATAAATTATGGTTATGATATTGTTTACTATTGTCTTTCGAATAAATACGAAAAGGGATTTTCTGTTTCTGTGGTATCAGGTGGATTCTTTATAAGGTATTTCTCCCGGCTTCCTAGCGTGCCTTCGTGGTGTAGTGGTTCTGCACGATGGGCCGGTATTCCAGAGATTCGTGGTTCGATTCCCGGCGAAGGCGTTTGCTAATTTTTCATCACTCCTGCTTTAAAATATCCTAATGTCTCTACAGTGGCGGCTGAACTAAAAGGGTGTTGGATGAGGATTCTCCACACCCAGGATTTGGCAATTGGGTCCCCTAAGTCGCCCTTTGAAGAGGGAAGTATATATGATATTTCTCCCGCTTTCCTAGCGTGCCTTCATGGTGTAGTGGTTCTGCACGCTGGGCCGGTATTCCAGAGGTCCGTGGTTCGATTCCCGGTGAAGGCGGTTGCTAATTTTTCATCTCTTCGCCTTTTCCGATTAACCTAATGTCTCTACATCTTGACAGGAAATCCAATTTGACCGCTTCCTTGTTCAGCCGTTTCTTGAAGCAACGAGCCCTTTATTATGGGAAAATATCCTTTTTTTCCATTGTGAATGATGACAACAGAAACCCAAACTCAACAAGCATATCTTAATAAGCTTGTGTGCGACCATTGACAAAGGCAATATCCATTTCGTCAGACAAGGAAAACTTTTTCCCGTTTTCTCAGTCTTCAAAGAAGATTTTTTTTTCCTCGTGACTGATATTTGTTGCATCATTTCACGTACTCTATTAATATAATGGCGTAGTTATGAAAAAAAAAAAAAAAAAAAAAAAAAAAAAAAAAGGAACGTGGGAAACTAGCAGTGTTTCGTTTAACATTAATGTCTCAGCTTCATTTGTCCATTCCTAATTTTATAACTTAATGGCTTATGTGTAATTATAAAGTACAAATTTTTTCTTTAAAGCTATGCGGCATTCTCTGTTAGGATACTTCTCTAGATTTATATTAACTTTTGTTTTGTATTATGAGCAGGTAAATAAAGGATGACAGAAGGAATACTAAAATATAATACTGCTATTTTAGACAAAGTATAAAATGGCTATGGCCCCTTTTTTTTTCTGTAATTACACTTTTTATTGTCTAATACTGCTGAAAGAATTGCAGGTATCGGAATTGAATCCTATTGCTATCTTTGTTTCTTTCCCCCCTTGGCATTGCTTCCTTTTCTTACATGTTATAGTTATTTATCATTATCAAAAGGTTTGATTTCAGTGTGACACCGAAGCCTAAAATCTTAAACTAACGAAATAATATGCCACAACTAGTAAATCGAAGTCAACATTGTATTGCTTCCATCACTGTATTGCTCCCGATCCAGTTATTTGTTTAAGTTTTTTGTCGTGCACTAGATGCAGAAGAATTCAGTTGAAAAGAACTTCAAGAATTTTGAGATCATATTTTAGTTAATTATAATAATTAGCTTCATCAAACAAGAAGTCTATTTTAGAATTTAGTCATTTAACATATAAGGTATTTCTCCCGCCTTCTTAGCATGCCTTCGTAGTGTAGTGGTCAGCATGCTGGGAGCGTATTCCAGAGGTCCGTGGTTCGATTCCCTGCGAAGGCGTTGCTCATTTTTCTTCTGTCCAGCTTCGAAATAACCTAATGACTCTACAAACATCAAAATGCAATTTTTATAAACTACGAAATCTGCTTCGTGTATAGTCATTGATTACGCTATCTTTCTCCTTTCCTGATCTGGAGCACTCAATCCAGTCTTAAAACACTGAGATTTGTATTCCTAATA